CGGTGAGCGCGGGCAGGACAGAGGCAGCGCTCGCGTTTTGGGCCGGGGGCGTCCCAGGGGGTCCTGAGCGCCTCTGAGCTCTCCTGTTGCCGGCAGGTCTGGGCTCATCTTCTACCGCAAGGGCGTGCACAGGGTGGACAAGAAGACTGGCAAGGAGACGCACTACGACCTGGAGGACAGGATCAACTTTGCGGTGTTCCCGTCGCTGCAGGGCGGCCCGCACAACCACGCCATCGCAGCCGTGGCCGTGGCCCTCAAGCAGGTGTGTGGGGACGAGAGGGAGCGGGGGCTGGCAGCCAGGCCCGGGGGGGACACGCACTGTCCCTGCAGGCCAGCTCGCCCGCTTTCCGCCAGTACTGCGAGCAAGTGCTGAGGAACGCCAAGGCCATGGCGCAGGCGCTGCTGCAGCGCGGGTACAAGCTCGTGTCAGGTGAACGTCCCCCCGGGGCCACAGGCCAGCAGCAGGGACACGGCAGTGCTGGGGGGGCAGGAGAGCCGTGTGGGGCAGGTGGCTGCGGGGCTGGGGGCCAGGGACACCGAGCCCTTCCCGTTTCATGGAATCATAGAACCACAGTGGCTGGAAACGACCTTCGAGCTAACCGAGTCCACCCGTAACCCTTCAACACCGCTACCTGTTAAACCATGTCCCCGAGTGCCTCGTTTTGCTGCTCCCCAGGGGGAACCGATAACCACCTGGTGCTGGTGGACCTGCGGCCCAAGGGCATCGACGGCGCGCGGGCTGAGCGCGTACTGGAGCTCGTCTCCATCACGGCCAACAAGAACACGTGTCCAGGGGACAGGAGCGCCCTCACGCCGGGGGGGCTGCGCCTGGGTGAGGGCTGCGCCGAGGCTCGTCCCACCTCCATGCAGCCCCTTCCCGGGCTCTCGCTGGGGATGTCCCTCCCCGCACGGCCCCGTGCACGGGGGCTCCGTGCGTGTTCCCTGGCCTGACGGGCTCTGTGTCCTCAGGTGCCCCTGCGCTGCCCTCCCGCCACTTCCAGGAGGATGATTTCCATAAGGTGGTGGCCTTCATCGACGAGGGCATCGCGCTGGCTCTGGACGTCAAGAGCAAGACGAGGGAGCAGCGGGGCGCAGGACGGGGACGGTGGGGGGCCGCGTGCCGCCCTTCCGCTCCTCTCACCACCTTTCTCCCCCCCAGCCAAGCTGCAGGACTTCAAGAACTTCCTGCTGCAGGATGCTGAGACGCAGCGGCGCATGGCCGACCTGCGCCAGCGCGTGGAGACCTTCGCACGCGCCTTCCCCATGCCCGGCTTCAGCGACCGCTGAGCTGGGCGCTTCTGCCCCCCGACCCCGTCCGGACTGGGAGCACGAGGGGAGCATCC